ATATCTACAGTCAAGTGATCTTGGGCAAGTGTGCCAAGAGTACACAATGGGGAAAGGATAGTCTCTTCAATAAATGATTGGGAAAATGGGATATACACATGCAGAAGACTCAAGTTGGACCTCTATCTCACACAACATATATAAATCAACTCCAAATGGATCAAAGACTTAAATATAAGATGTGGAACTTTAAAACTACTAGAAAAAAAAAAACAGACTTTGGTCTTGGCAAGGATTTTTTTTTTTTTTGGTTATAATCTCAAAGCTCAGACAATAAAAGCAAAAACAGAAAAATGGGATCACATCAAGCTAAAGAACTTATGCATAGGCAAAGGAAATAACCAATAGCATGAAAAGGCAGCCTACTGAATAGGAGAAAATATTTGTAAATCATCTAACTAATTAGGGTTAATATCCAAAATATTAACAACTCAAAAGCAAAGAACAACCTGAATTGTAAAATATGGGCTAAGGACCAGAATAGACACTTCTCCAAAAAAGGCATACAAATGTCCAGTAGGTATATGAAAAGGTGCTCAGCATCATAAATCATCAGGGTAATGCAAACTCAAACCACAATGAAATAGCACTTTTCACCTGTGAGGATGGCTATTATCAAAAATGGCAAGAGATAACAAGGGTTGGCAAGGACGTGGAGAAAAGGGTATCTTTGTAGGCTGTCAGTGGGAATGTAAATTGGTACAATCATTATCAAAGACAGCATGAAGATTTCTCAATAAATTAAAAATAGGACTTCGGTCAGCCCCAGTGGCTCAGCGGTTTAGTGCCGCCTTTGGCCCAGGGCGGGATCCTGGAGACCCCGGATCGAGTCCCATGTCGGGCTCCCTGCATGGAGCCTGCTTCTCCCTCTGCCTGAGTTTCTGCCTATCTCTCTATGTTCTCATGAATAAATAAATAATTGAAAATCTTTTTAAAAAAATAGGACTTCCATGTGATCCAGCAATCCCACTTCTGGGTATATATCCAAAGGAAAATGAAATCAGTATCTAAAAGAGCTATCTGCATTCCGTGTTCATTGTAGCATTATTCGCAATACTCAAGGAAATAACCTAGTGTCAGCTAATGGACGGATGCATAAAGAAAATGTGCGATATATATAAAAATGTGAGCTACATGTGGAAATGTGATATATGTTAATATATTATTATATTAATCAATACATATATAACACTGTGTCACTGCAATATTATCCAATTTTTAAAAAGCAGGAAATCTTGCTATTTGTGACAATAATGGAGAGCCTGGAGGCCATTATTCTAAGTGTAATAAGTCAGATAGAAAGGGACAAATACTGTGTGATCTCAATGATATGTGTAATCTAACAAAGTCAAATTCATAAAAACAGAGCGAGATGGTGGTTGCCAGGGGCTGAGGTGTGTGGTAAATGGAGAGTTTGTGGTAAAAGGGTATAAAGGTTCAGTTACATGGAATGAATAAGTCCTGGAGATCTAATAGGCAGCATGATGGCTACAGTTGTCCATACTCTACCATATACTTAAAATTTACTAAAAGAGTTGACGGTGAGTGTCCTCACCACACACACACAATAACGGTAACTATGTGAGGTGATGGATATGCTGATTACCTCGATAGGGCAGGATTCAGGTCAGCAGAGGGAGCAATCCCAGGCCCTGCACGCATCAAGATGAGGACCCCTATGGAGGGCTGAATTAGCCACTGACCCCAAACAGGGGCCCCACAGGAATGTACACCTGCTTTCAGCTCCTACAGACCCCACACAGGCCTGTCATGCTAAGGCCCAGCCTCACTATTATGTGGGTGAAAGCAGTCAGGCCTTAACCTGACGGATGAAGTCTCAGCTCAACAGGGCACTCAGCCAGTGCAAGAAGTTAAGTTAAGGACTCCCAAGTAGACTGGAACCCATCACACTCTGCCCCCACCATCAACCTGGGGAAACCCAGGGATGTGTGGAGTCCTGACTTCCGGAATCTGAGGTAGATGAGGTTTCCTCTGAGGCAACTGGACTCCCGTCAGCAGAGGGAGGAGTCTTAGGCCCTGCCAGGCTTCAAAATAAAGAACTAGGAGGAGGAGCGAGGGGACCTCTTACCAGACAGAAAGGGCCCTCGGTTCCGCCCTGCACCTAAGTCATCCCTGGAAGGCCCCCGGTCAGTGTTCCCAGAAGTGACGTATCCTGACTTCCGCCTTAGGAGTCTGAGGGACGTGAGGCTTTGTCACTTCAAGTGTGGACTCAGATGGTCAGACTCAGATCGTAGGAGGGACGTGTCGCAGGCTCTGGCAGTCGTTAAGGTGAGGACTCCTGAGAAATAACTGAGAACACTCACCTCGGAGGGTCTGCGCGTCTCCTCCCCCAATCCCCCAGCAACTTCGTCCCCGCCCCCCCCCCCCCCCGCACCTTGTCTGCCCAGAAGCTCCACGCAAGGCCCCGGATGTGTTTTATCCAGACCCCCATCTTGGGAGTCTGAGGGACGTGAGGCTTTTTCTGATGGGAGCCGCTGATTCAGGTTGCCAGAGGGAAGAGTCCCAGGCCCTGGCTGGCGCTAAGGTGAGGATTCCAAGAAAGGGCGGAGGGGAGCTCTTACCGCTTAGTGGGTGCCCAAGCCTTCCCCCCACCTTTTGTTTGCTCGAAAGGCTCCTCCAGGGCAGGGCCCCAGACGTGGTGTATCTTGGGAATCTGAGGGAGGAGAAGCTTTCTCTGAGAGTAGCGGATTCCGGACTCCGGTTGTCAGAGGGATGTGTCCCAGGTTCCGGCAGGCATTAAGGTGAAGATCCAGAATAAGGATTGAGGCGGGCATCACTCTTCACTCTTACCTTGCCCATTGTCTGCCTTAAAAGCCCCACACAGAGCCCCAGATGTGGTGTATCCAGCCCTCCATCCTGGGAGTCTGAGGGAATGAGGCATTTTTTTGAGGGGCGTGAATTCAAGCCACTCCTCAGACGAGCCGCAGGCTTGCTGGGCCTGAAGGTGAAGAGCCTTGTGGCGGGCTCAGGGGACCTCCCTCCAGACAAAAGGAGCACACGGGTACCCTTCCCTGTTGTCAGCCTAGCGAGGCCCCGGGCAGGGCAGTAAGATGGAAGCACCTCGCCCAATTTTTGGTACTTCTTTGTGAGTGGTTTCTGGGAGATGGGAGCCTTGGCCTGAGGGTCATTCCCAGGAGAGCAGAAGGGACACAGGGGGCAGCCCCAGTGGCTCAGCAGTTTAGCGCCGCCTTCAGCCCAGGGCGTGATCCCGGAGAGCCGGGATCGAGTCCCACCTCAGGTTCCCTGCATGGAGCCTGCTTCTTCCTCTGCCTGCATCTCTGCCTCTCTCTCTCTCTCTCTCTCTCTCTCTCTCTCTCTCTCTTTCTCTCTTTCTCTCTCTGGCTCAAATAAATAAATAAATAAAACCTTAAAAAAAAAGAAAGGACACAGGGTACAGGCCTTGTCAGGAATGAATACGAAGTCCTTGAGAAGGACTGTAGGTATGCCCTACCACTGAACCTGGACGAACCTCCACAGAAATGTATCCTGATCCCTTATGTCAGCCCTGGGGACCTCGGGAGATACAGTCAGGCTAAACTTCCTTCTATTTTCAAATCGGGGGTCTGGGGGAGGTGAGGGCTTTGGTCTGAAGGACCCAATATCTGGTGATCATAGAGAGGAGTTTCAGGCCCTACCAGATAAAGAGATGAGGATCTTAAGGTAGGGCTGAGAAGAGAGAGAGGGCCCCACAGAAACCTGTTCTTTTTCTTAGCTGTGAGAGGTCCCAGTCAAGGCTGTCAGACACAGATGTCCCCTCTACTCCCCCTCACTTCCTTGCCCTGGTGTCTTTGGGAGATGAGGGCCTTTGCCTGAGGGAAACATTCTTAAGCCAGCAAAATGTGGCTTTAGGCCCTATCAGGAATAAATACGAATCCCTTGAGGAGAGCTGAGGGTAACCATCAAGCCAGAGCACGGAGTGGTGCAGATCCCAACACAACCCTATCTGTCAGCCCTAGTATATACCATGCAGGCCTGGCAGGCTTAGACCTGGTTTTACTTGCTTCTTGGTGGTATTACTGAGGTGATAGCCTTGGTCTGAGAGGTGCAACCTCAGGTGGACAGAGGAAAGAGCCCCAGTCCTGCAAGAGTCAAGGTGAAGACTCTGAAGTGGGGTGGAGAGGACCTTCAACTGTAAAAGGGTCTCCAGCCCTGTTCTGCTCCTGCTGTCAAGCCTTTGAGACTCCAAGTAGGGCTGTTAATCAGAACCATCTTTCTGTAATCCCCTGAACTCCCCCTCACTTCCTTATCTGGCATCTCTGGGAGACAGAGGCTTGGGATAAGGGATGTAGGTCTGCAGAAAGGAAAGAATATAGGCCCAGTCGGGAGTAACTATGACTAGCTGCTGGAAGGCCAAAGGTAGTTTCCACCCCCAGAGAGGTCCCCGCAGATACCTGTACCGAGTGAGCATTGAGAGGACCATCTATCCCAGAACAGTAGGGATATCACGAAGTCTGGCCCTCCCTCTCCTGTCAGTGCTGGAAGGGCCAGAATTGTGATTGTAGTTTACAGCCTGAGGGGTTCCTTCAACTCCCCTTATAGGGGCTCAAGGTGAGGGTCTTGGTCTGAGGCATGTGTCCTCAGGCCAGCAGACCAGAGGAAGCACAGGCAGCACAAGGAGTCAGTCAAGGTGAGAACTCTATCAAGGGGAGAATATCTACCAAGAACTCCACTCATGCCAGAACAGAGGAGACACCACAGCACCTGACTTTCCACACCCTACTGTCTTACCTAACATCCGCAGGCTATGCCTGCTGGCTATACCCTGAGGAGCTTTCTCAGGTTCTTCTATAGGTTCTTAGGGGATAGGTCAAGACGGGAGACCCCCAGAGTACTATCTAACAGGAGACCTGTCAAGATGGCCTTTGTCAGAGCTGACAAAGTTGAGTTTCTCACACTATTCCTCTCTTCCTCAGTCCAGTTGGTTGCCATCATCTACCTTCTGCCCACACTCCTGCCTGCTGCCCCCAACACAAGTCAACATGCCTCACAGTAAGAAGAGTCAGTGCTGCAAGCTTGAAGCAAGCCATGAGGCCCAAAGAAGGCCTCAGGACCCAGTGGATGCACAGGTTCCTGTAACAGAGAAGGAAACCACCACCTCCTCTCTCTCCCCTTTGATCCAGGGTACCCCAGAGGTGGTGCCGGCTGCTGGAAAACCAAGTGTTTGCCAGAGTTCTCAGGAAGTCTGCTCCTCCCCCTCCACCATCAAAGGTGCTCCATTGAGCAAGCCAAATGAGGGCTCCAGCAGCCACAAAGAGGGTCCAAGCACCTCCCAGGCTCCACCAGATCCTGATTCCTTGCTCAGTGAAGTGCTAAATCAGAAAGTGGCTGAATTGGTGCAGTTCCTGAGTGTCAAGTATGTAACAAAGAAGCCCACCATGGCGGCAGAAATGCTGCAGAGTGTCATCCGAGAGCACAAGGGCCATTTCCCTGTGATCTTCAAGAAAGCCTGTGAGTGCATGGAGGTTGTCTTTGGCATTGAAGTGAAGGAAGTAGACCCCGTCAACCACTCCTATGAGCTTGTCAAGATCCTCAACCTTACCTACGATGGGATGCTGAGTAATGAGCAGGGCATGCCCAAGACCGGCCTTCTGATCCTTATCCTGGGCATGATCTTCGTGGAAGGCAATTGTGCCCCTGAGGAGAAGATCTGGGATATGCTGAATAAGATCGGGGTGTTTGCTGGAAAGAAGGATTTCATCTATGGGGAGCCCAGGAAGCTCATCACCAAAGATTTAGTGCAGGAGAAGTACCTGGAGTACCGGCAGGTGCCCAACAGTGACCTTCCGTGCTACGAATTCCTGTGGGGTCCCAGGGCCCACGCTGAAACCAGCAAGATGCAAGTCTTGAAGTTTTTGGCCAAGGTCAGTGGCACTGCCCCTACTTCCTTCTCATCCTGGTATGAGGAAGCCGTGAGAGATGAGAGAGCACGAGCCGAGGCCAGAGTTGCTGCCACTGATGATACTACTGCCATGGCCAGAGAAAGTTCCAGTGTCCCATCTGGCAGCTTCTCTTGCCCTAAGTGAAGTCTGAGGAAGATTCTCCACTATGTGTTTCTTTTTTTTTTTCCACTATGTGTTTCAAGAGGGCAATCAAGGTTCTAAATAGTGGAGGGCTGAATTGCAGATTTTATCTTTTTTTCTTTTTGATTTTTTTCAAATGTTCTTCTTTCTTCTAAAAGGTTTTTGAGCTTCAGACACTAGGTTCATGAATGATACTGGTCACATGTTTATTGCTGTTTTCAGGTTTAAGAATAAGAATTTTGCTCTTCTGGAAAACATATTGGGAAACTTTTATTTTCTGATCTGGAGTAGGATAGCATAGCATTGATAGCAGAATTTCCTTAGAAATATGCAAGAGCCCAGCAATAAAATAGATGAACTCAAGAAATAGAGGGGAAAATGTAAAAGATGGTTATCCTAGGATTCCTGTAACCCATTTAGTCTGTTGGTTAGTAAAATTAAAGATCTGTACTTGGATTTGTTTGGCTAAAGAATGCATGAGAAATTAAATCTTAATAAAAGAAAATCCTGGCTCACTAGCTCATTTATTCTTACAAGTGTTTTACAGATGAGAGAAAAGTCTAGAAAGGAAAATTACCCTTAGCCGTTCCTTTGGAATCATGGGTAAACCAGAGAGAAATCTCCACCTGTGGCAAGTATGGAAAGTGCCCTGCACCCATGTCCCCATGCCACTGAACACAATGTACAAACCATGCATTCTATATGCATTGTCTACAAGATTTCTGGAGAATAGGGTGACTTTCTTTGGTGTGGTGCCCAGGGGCTAGCACTTTTTCCCTGGCCTGGAAAAGCCCAGAGCCCACTCCTTGGAAAGGACATTTTCATTAGGTTATCTTGAGTGTGATTTGGCCAGCTCTAAGCAAGGACTAGACCTTTGGTGGGAGTGAAATGAGTGAAAATAGTGGTTTGGATGGAAGAACAGCTGGGAAGGAGGAACAGAGTTAGTCCTTGACTCAAATTCTAGGAGCTTTGAGTTGCATTCAGCTGGGGTAGACTTCCCCCATATCCAAATTAAATCATATATCCACTAACAGGGACATTTTACAGAGTTTTATTTACAAAGCACCATTTCTGGCTCATGTGGTGGTTTGTGTTCTGGAGTGCTACATATTCTCTGAGATGTCATGGAAAACATAGTCACAGTTAGTCACAGTCAATCCCAGAGGAAACAGTCAATCCCAGAAGACAGAGTGATAGAGTCTGGGGTCAAAGTCATATTAGCAATTATTGCTGTTTGTTAAAGATCCAACAAATACCAGGCACTGTGCCAGGCACTTCACTTACATACATTCTAGCAGTTCTACGAGACAGGGCTTATCAAACTCACTTCACAGGTGAAGAACCGAAGGCCCAGAGCACTTGGAAGTTTGCCCTGGGACTAGATTCTGGGTCCAAATTTGTCGGTTCTCACTCCTCCCAGCCTGAGGCTGATCACTTGTCTCTTTGCTCATTTCTCTTCTCCATGCTCTATATGTCTTTCTGGTAACAAAAAAAAAAGGGCCCTTTGGCCAAAGTAGGCCTAAAGAAAGAAGAAGTCAATGATACCAGACATGATTTGGGGACTGTCGGCTTTATTTCCCTCAGGTCTGCCAGCCTGAGCTCCCCAGAGCTCCTGGAGAACTGATGCAGCCCACCTGCTGCTGTGTGTGTCCTGTCCCAGCACTTTTCTGTGTGACAGCACCCTTGCCCCATCTTCCTCTGCCTGCCTTCCTGTCCCACTCTAGAATCTGACCTGCTGACCAGCTTTGAAGCCCTGTGCTCCCAGTGGGACAGCCCTAGTTACCCATCTTCCCCACCTTGTCATGGAGCATCCCTACTCTTTACAGAAGGATGTCCCCCTGGCTGTCCATCCATCTCTCTTTCTGGAACCCCAATAGCAACAGCCTCTTAGCAATAAAAGTGCACTTTGGAGGATGGTTAGATGCCTGAGCACCCAGCCTGGCCTCTTCTTTTTTTAAAAAAGATTTTTACTTATTCATGAGAGAGAGAGAGAGAGAGAGAGAGGCAGAGACACAGACAGAGGGAGAAGCAGGTTCCATGCAGGGAACCTGACGTGGGACTCAATCTCGGGTCTCCAGGATTGTGCCCTGGGCTGAAGGCGGTGCTAAACCGCTGAGCCACCCAAGCTGCCCCTGTCCTGGCCTCTTCAACACACACTCCCAAATTGTTTTTCAAATGAGCTGGCGAGCAGAGTCTGATTTGCATATAATCTTCTGGCTCTCAGGATGTAACCCTGATGTAAGAGAGGTTTTTTGAGACCACACTAATATTTGGAATAAGAGTCTAATAAGATGTATAATTTAAAATAGGCCACTGATCACATCAGCAGATGAGCAAGTTTACCTGGATAGTCAAAAACCAAAATACCTTTCCTCTAAGTGGAAGGAAACAGCGCAGAAACCACCATGTAAGCAGAGAGCTACAGGGGCTGAATCCCTAAAACCTCGGAGTCCTAGCAGGTGAACGATGGTTTTTTTGGTGGACATGTTCTGGTTTAAAAAAAAAAAAAAACAGGGATGCCTGAGTGGCTCAGTGGTTGAGCATCTCTCTTCGGCTTGGGGCGTGATCCCAGGGTCCTGGGATTGAGTCCCACATCGGGCTCCCTTGCAGGAAGTCTGCTTCTCCCTGTCCCTATGTCTCTGCCTCTCTCTTTGTGTCTCTCATGAATAAATAAATAAAATCTTTTTAAAAATTCAAAAAAAAAAGCAAGTTAGCCATACTTCCATCCTTCCACTGCTTCTTGTACATACATCTTGCCCGCAGGAAAATTCCAGTTTGCAGTATGCCTCATGATGCCTGTGCAGGTGTTTGGGAAGATTCAGTCATTCAGAGGGGAGCAGAACCTCTCAGGTTAAGGTTGTGATTACACATCATAAGAAAGGAGAACATTCCCAGGCTACTGAGATTATAGAGGTTATTGGAAAGGGCAAAGCAGAACTCCCTGCCAATGCTGACAGGGTCACTTGAAAACTAGATGTGACCCTATATTTGAGAATGCTTGTCACACAGTAGGCACTTGAAAAAGTTGGTACAAGGCAAATATGGCTTTCTCAGGAACTCCTCCAAGAAATGAAAGGAATTGATATCATAACAGATTATAGTAGTTGCTTTTTCTTGAGTACCTACTACATGATGGCTTCCCAGACAAACTACAAGTGCTCACTCACATCTTGTCTTTCTCTCCTTCCTGGGTGGCCCACATGTAGTTAGGCAGGAGCCAGTGTGCCATTTTCATGCTTCCTCTGCTGTTCAGAAGCACACCTGGGGACCCAGGTGGAGAGGTAGAGCTACCAGATGGAAGGAGCCTGGATCACTGAGTTACCTGAAAGCAGGTGCCCCTTTGTACAATTACTTTTGTGCTTCCACCTTTTGGCAATGGTAAATGAAGCTGCTATAAACATGGATGTACAAATATGTGTTCAAATCTGTGTCTCGGGATCCCTGGGTGGCTCAGCAGTTGAGCATCTGCCTTTGGCTCAGGGCATGATCCTGGGGTCCTGGGATCAAGTCCCACATCAGGCTCCCTGCAAGGAGCCTGCTTCTCCTCTGCCTATATCTCTGCCTCTCTGTGTGTGTCTCTCATGAATAAATAAATAAAATATTTAAAAACCAAGGGTAATTGTGCAAATATTGCAAACCACCTACTCTTGGCATCCTTTGTCCAACTCTGAGTTTCCACCCACCAATACCCAGAAACTCATTTCCTCTAACCTAGGGCATCTGTTGCAAGTAGCTGGAAGCTCTGCAGTAACTAGCTTCTCATCATAAACACAACAAGGGGCTGGAGGTCCCTGGTAACTGGAGGTAGAGTTTCCCTAATCTGTCTTATACCTAATTGGTGGATGATGATTGTCAAAATTGTAAACGTGGGACATCACATTCCAAATGAAGCTTCAAAAGAAATCCAATCCATGAACATGAGAAGGCACAGCAGTCTAACTGAAGTGAGAGCTATTATCCTGGAGTCCTGTCCACTCACTACCCTTCCCTCTTCCTATGAGACAGTGGCCCTGTCACCCAACCACAGAACTCTAGTTTCCTTCTGAGCACTCCGGGGGAAGCCTGGTGCTAGAAGCCCCTTCCTGGAACGTTAACTATCATGCCCTTCACAGGCATGTATCTGTGTGGACTCCATTCCACCCAATGTACTGAATCCTAGTTTTGCTGCCTGGATCTGCAGCATCATCAACAACTTGTGAGCCCCAATTTCTGCGTCTCCAGCATAACTTACCACCCCATTTCTCATTCTCAACTCCTCACTGTCCCACCCCTGACCTAGACACACTGGCACATGCTGTCCTACCCACTCATCGAGTCTCAATTTTCAGCATGGGACCGGCTGCCTTCCCTGTGACCCACACTCTCCCCCTTAGGATTCTGTTAGGATTTTTCACAGGCTCTTGCCACTGATCCCAATCCTTGTCTCTTCCTTCCTTCCTAGCTTTGCTTCAATCTCTCTTCTGCAAAGAGGTCCCAGCTAGTGCCTTTCTGCGGGAGCTTCTTAGCACCAAATAACATGGAGGGCCTTCATTGACTTTGCACCTACATTTCCCTACAAAGGCAGAATCCTTTCAAGAACCTTAAGTATGCCACACGAATTGTGAGGATTTCCACTCTGATGGGAACAGGAATTTGTCCCAGCCTCATGTGAGTTCCAGAATTCTCTTTCTGTGTAGCAATCTCTACTTAGTATTCGGTCCTGCAAATTTTAGGCCTTCCTGGCCTCCCAGCTTCATCTCAACTCAAGGAGATTATCCAGGCTTCCCCATCTGTGCACTGTGGCATGCATTATCTCCCCAGACAAATAAGCTAGGGTATCGTAGAACTGACCTCATTGGGTTTCCATTTCTTAGAGATCACTGTCCTTCATGACCTGATGTCCAATAAATTGAAAACTGTTTCATATGTTTCTTTTTTAAAATTTTTTTTATTGGAGTTCAATTTTCCAACATGTAGCATAACACCCAGTGTTCATCCTGCCAAGTGTCCCCCTCAGTGCCCAT